GACCCCCCCCCCCCTTGACTTTTCCAAACAACTGCCTACAGATCCATTATTGCCGCGATGAAAAGTAATGTCCCGGAAAGCTGTTCCAAAAATTATGGCATGTATGAATTTATATAGAGCTATTTTTAGCTGCCTCATGTACATTGTATGTTGAATATTACTGTGACTGTGGGTATTGGCAGCCTAGTGAAAACTGTGTCTTTTATATAATGTACATGTATGATTCTGTAATGTCTTAATAAAAATTGCTGTACAGGCCCGTACGGCTAGCCAAAAAGTTCTAGCCGTACGTGAGTCATGTACGACTACCAGGACACACTGTATTGGCTAGCCGTACGGCACTTTTCAAAATTAAATGGAGTACGTGAGTCACGTACGGCTAGAACTTTTTGGCTAGCCGTACAGGCCCGTACGGCTAGCCACTTCTTTCACAATAAGGAGTAGTGTTTTTACAGCTCAAGCCTCAACACAAACAAGATACATGTATTCTGTATAATAAATTAATTATTTATAAATCTGAAACATAAATTTGGTCCGCATAATTTTACATCATTGGAAGACAAGTAGATAAACACTGATAAATCAGGGATCATCCTGGTCAGGATTTTTAGTGAGAGATTTTCTCTCATTTGAGAAATTTTGATGAGAGAAATTAGATTTTCTTGAGAGATTTAATTTCATGATGGGCGAGGTTAAAAATATGGAAATTTCTAACTTTTTAAAAATCACTGTACATATAAACATTGTTTATCTAATGAGGATATAAGAAGATGTAGCTCTGTTTATTACAGTGATTTTTGTTTTCACTTTTTAACACATCCTATGCCTTTTCTTTTGTGATTTTTTAAACATAATAAAATTCTAATTGTGAAAAATAAATATAACACCTTTATTCTGAAATATAAAAGAATTATACATGGATATCTACTACAACTACTACAACTATTATTTGCAGTCAATGTTCCTAATGGACAACTCTGTACTGTACAGAAGGGATTGTTGAGATTTGAAGAATATTTTTATAACCTTTCATTTTGTTTTCTTTATGATTCTCTTCACACACCTCCCTCCATTAAAAATATACCTGAACACATAATGACAAATATCTCATATCCACAAATATAAACAATAACTAAAGTAATTTTTATTCATAAACATCATTTTTAGTGTTATAAAACACCTTTTAAATAACACTCGGCTTCCTTTTAGAATTTTTTTTAATCACGACATCGCGAAATATGTGACAAATGAATATTTGTCTGTTTTCCGCTGAAACATTCACAATTCTAGCTGTTGCTGATTGCAATTATATAAAATCAAATATTTTTGTCCAATAAAAGAACATTTATTATCGGCTATTTCATCAGGAATCGTAAAACAAAATTTTTTTAATTTGTTCTTTACGGCAAAATTTACCGTGGTTGATGTGACATTTAGAAGACAAATTTTACCGGTAGATTTATTTTTGACATGTCCATTTTATGTTAGTCTGTGTCCTAAAATTTTTTTTTAAAATCAATTAAAAGTGTTTTTGTGTAAATTCTCGACTTACAGATAGATAAAGGTTAGCCATCATACCGTATTTCTGTACGGTGAATTTGCGGTCCTCCGATTGGCAATTATTTTAGGCTAAATAATTCTTAGTGTTGGACTACTTTTTGGAGTTTTTTACACCGATTTCATTAAATAAACAATTTGAAATTAAATTCTTGATGGGAATCGTGAATTTTTCATCATATTTTTTGTGTAATTTTAGCATTCCTTAGATTGTGTTTAGACATTTTCCGGCTCAAATTGCCGTGCGAGATTTTCTCTCATTTCACAAAAATTTCTCTGAGATTTTGGTGATATTTTTTGCGAGAAATCGCAGAAATCGCCCCTAGAATGATCCCTGTAAATGTATATTCATTTTGGTTAGCTTAAGGTCTTCAGCGTACCCGTTAATATACTATGACATGACATGAACGCTGAAGATAACCCCGTAGGGAAAGTCCACCAATAATCGTGCCAGGAATCTGACACGCTCGTATTTATTCATCGAACATGCCATGAAGTAAAGTGAAGCATACCTTGATAAAACTATATATAATCTGTTTATAATCTGTTGTTAATCTAAAGTATGATGCAATACATTAATCGCTTACCTGGTCCTAATTTTGTGTTGACAACGAAACATGGCATTCCAACTTTCCCAGGTCTTCAATCTACTACTACTAGAGTCTGTGTTTTTCCATAGGGAACACAATTCACATGACCGCATAATTTCTGTGTTTCGACATTTCACATACAAATATCCAGACACACCCTGTTTAAATTCAACATGTTCAACATGTTGTCAAAAGTTAATGGTAGCCTACTGGTCCAAGTCTACATTTTTTACAAAATCTTAGGGTTGACCGTAACACGCCAAACTCGAGTCTCAACGATAATTTCTTCTTCCCTTTTTCCAACCCTCATTATCAACCGATTTAGGAAGAGTTGATGTTTTGTAGAGCTGGTTTGGTTGACCCGTAATACTGGTTACCTGCACTATAGTTATGTTCTATAATTAAGTCGCAATACTTGGGTTTTCTGCATCTTTTTACACTTTTTTGAATCGACCGAGCGTATCACGCCTGTAAGACGCCATGTTAGATATCTACGGAAATTACGTCATTTTCTTGGGGAATACTACCACGTGACCGGGGATATCCGCTATTATTAGAATTCCGACTTTATACGTAAACAAACGAAGTTCGTTACAATAAATCGCGAGATATGGCGGTAATTGTCGAAGATTGCCGATTTCATTATGGGTCTTCTACCTTATAATTTTTTAACTGTTATTGTGAACTACAATACCCTCCATGATACATATGATGTTTCAATTTGATAACTCTTAGGCAAAAAATAAAAATATGTTTGTTTCCACTTCCCGACCCATTAAAATAGGGTTGGGTAGGTAGGTAGGTAGGTAGGTAGGTAGGTAGGTAGGTAGGTTATATATAGGTAGGTACATGAAGGACTTTTTTTATATGTGCATAATAATATAATTCCTTGGCAAAATAGTTATTTACTGAACAAAGTTGATTAACTTTCAGAACTGATGTGTTTGTGGCGATTATCTGGCAAACTTGTTTTTATAGAAAAGTTTCTGGTGAACTTTCAGTGAATAATTTTTTTCATAGAAAGATTCTGGCAATCTCTGGCAAATTAGTTTTCCACTGAAAGTTTCTGGCAAACTTTTGGCGAACTACTTAATATTCTGGTGAATTTGCCGCAAAGTCGCCAAATGTTTGCTACAGAGTTGCCACTAGTGGCGATATCTGGCAAACTCTTGACACAGTGTTTCGGCGAACTAAAAGGTTTGCAGCGAATTTGCGGCAAAGTTGCGGCGAGTTTGCGGCAAACTTTTCCTTTTGGTACGGGATTAAATCGGTAAGAATATTGAGATATTTGTTTGACTATCAGTTATTAATATAGAAAACAACTATGTGTAGTTTTTGTGTATTGTTTTAATGTGTTTGTCTGATATTTTAGTTGTAAATACCATGTACGCTTAGTGTCGCTTCATAGCAACCGAGTTTAAAACGTGAGCGGTAACTGAACGAGATATGGCAAAGCGCATGCTCGCGCACTGACTTCCGCTCTATCAAAATACTGCATATACGTATAGCGAAAGTTCGTAAGTGCCAGTTACCTCTCTGGCGTGGGTTCGATCCCCGGGAGATGCTTTGGTAGTTTAGCACGGAGGAAGGTAGTCTAGTACTGGTGTAACTCTCCAGGAACGATGGTTAGGAAACTACCCGCCTATATGACTGAAATGCTGTTGGGAAAAGGCGTACAGTGAAACAAACAAACACACAAACTTATAGATAAAGTTATTAATAAAATTGGGTTTTGTGGAAATCGACGTGGAAGTAACTTCTTATGAAAATCAAAGTTGAAAATAAAATGCATAGATGACTTTTTTCGTAATTTTAATTATAGTTCCAATCATATCAATCATTTTTAGATGTCTTGGATGAAATTTATGTTCATTGCTTGTTTATCTAGCATAATCTTTAAAAATGTCACTTTAAAGAAATTATATATACAATACATTAGCTAATGTAAAGATAACCAACGCATCAGTAAGTGAAATTAAGATATAATCTATTAGTTATGTAATATTTAAAATTCATCAGTAAATGCGATAATACTTAATACATAATGTAAAATAATACCTTCCCGTACCAAAAGGAAAAGTTTGCCGCAAACTCGCCGCAACTTTGCCGCAAATTCGCTGCAAACCTTTTAGTTCGCCGAAACACTGTGTCAAGAGTTTGCCAGATATCGCCACTAGTGGCAACTCTGTAGCAAACATTTGGCGACTTTGCGGCAAATTCACCAGAATATTAAGTAGTTCGCCAAAAGTTTGCCAGAAACTTTCAGTGGAAAACTAATTTGCCAGAGATTGCCAGAATCTTTCTATGAAAAAAAATATTCACTGAAAGTTCACCAGAAACTTTTCTATAAAAACAAGTTTGCCAGATAATCGCCACAAACACATCAGTTCTGAAAGTTAATCAACTTTGTTCAGTAAATAACTATTTTGCCAAGGAATTATATTATTATGCACATATAAAAAAAGTCCTTCATGTACCTACCTATATATAACCTACCTACCTACCTACCTACCTACCTACCCAACCCTATTTTAATGGGTCGGGAAGTGGAAACAAACATATTTTTATTTTTTGCCTAAGAGTTATCAAATTGAAACATCATATGTATCATGGAGGGTATTGTAGTTCACAATAACAGTTAAAAAATTATAAGGTAGAAGACCCATAATGAAATCGGCAATCTTCGACAATTACCGCCATATCTCGCGATTTATCGTAACGAACTTCGTTTGTTTACGTATAAAGTCGGAATTCTAATAATAGCGGATATCCCCGGTCACGTGGTAGTATTCCCCAAGAAAATGACGTAATTTCCGTAGATATCTAACATGGCGTCTTACAGGCGTGATACGCTCGGTCGATTCAAAAAAGTGTAAAAAGATGCAGAAAACCCAAGTATTGCGACTTAATTATAGAACATAACTATAGTGCAGGTAACCAGTATTACGGGTCAACCAAACCAGCTCTACAAAACATCAACTCTTCCTAAATCGGTTGATAATGAGGGTTGGAAAAAGGGAAGAAGAATCGTTGAGACTCGAGTTTGGCGTGTTACGGTCAACCCTAAGATTTTGTAAAAAATGTAGACTTGGACCAGTAGGCTACCATTAACTTTTGACAACATGTTGAACAGGTGAATTTAAACAGGGTGTGTCTGGATATTTGTATGTGAAATGTCGAAACACAGAAATTATGCGGTCATGTGAATTGTGTTCCCTATGGAAAAACACAGACTCTAGTAGTAGTAGATTGAAGACCTGGGAAAGTTGGAATGCCATGTTTCGTTGTCAACACAAAATTAGGACCAGGTAAGCGATTAATGTATTGCATCATACTTTAGATTAACAACAGATTATAAACAGATTATATATAGTTTTATCAAGGTATGCTTCACTTTACTTCATGGCATGTTCGATGAATAAATACGAGCGTGTCAGATTCCTGGCACGATTATTGGTGGACTTTCCCTACGGGGTTATCTTCAGCGTTCATGTCATGTCATAGTATATTAACGGGTACGCTGAAGACCTTAAGCTAACCAAAATGAATATACATTTACAGGGATCATTCTAGGGGGCGATTTCTGCGATTTCTCGCAAAAATATCACCAAAATCTCAGAGAAATTTGTGAAATGAGAGAAAATCTCGCACGGCAATTTGAGCCGGAAAATGTCTAAACACAATCTAAGGAATGCTAAAATTACACAAAAATATGATGAAAAATTCACGATTCCCATCAAGAATTTAATTTCAAATTGTTTATTAATGAAATCGGTGTAAAAAACTCCAAAAAGTAGTCCAACACTAAGAATTATTTAGCCTAAAATAATTGCCAATCGGAGACCGCAAATTCACCGTACAGAAATACGGTATGATGGCTAACCTTTATCTATCTGTAAGTCGAGAATTTACACAAAACACTTTTAATTGATTTTAATAAAAAATTTTAGACACAGACTAACATAAAAATGGACATGTCAAAAATAAATCTACCGGTAAAATTTGTCTTCTAAATGTCACATCAACCACGGTAAATTTTGCCGTAAAGAACAAATTAAAAAAATTTTGTTTTACGATTCCTGATGAAATAGCCGATAATAAATGTTCTTTTATTGGACAAAAATATTTGATTTTATATAATTGCAATCAGCAACAGCTAGAATTGTGAATGTTTCAGCGGAAAACAGACAAATATTCATTTGTCACATATTTTCGCGATGTCGTGATTAAAAAAAATTCTAAAAGGAAGCCGAGTGTTATTTAAAGGTGTTTTATAACACTAAAAATGATGTTTATGAATAAAAATTACTTTAGTTATTGTTTATATTTGTGGATATGGAGATATTTGTCATTATGTGTTCAGGTATATTTTTTAATGGAGGGAGGTGTGTGAAGAGAATCATAAAGAAAACAAAATGAAAGGTTATAAAAATATTCTTCAAATCTCAACAATCCCTTCTGTACAGTACAGAGTTGTCCATTAGGAACATTGACTGCAAATAATAGTTGTAGTAGTTGTAGTAGATATCCATGTATAATTCTTTTATATTTCAGAATAAAGGTGTTATATTTATTTTTCACAATTAGAATTTTATTATGTTTAAAAAATCACAAAAGAAAAGGCATAGGATGTGTTAAAAAGTGAAAACAAAAATCACTGTAATAAACAGAGCTACATCTTCTTATATCCTCATTAGATAAACAATGTTTATATGTACAGTGATTTTTAAAAAGTTAGAAATTTCCATATTTTTAACCTCGCCCATCATGAAAATTAAATCTCTCAAGAAAATCTAATTTCTCTCATCAAAATTTCTCAAATGAGAGAAAATCTCTCACTAAAAATCCTGACCAGGATGATCCCTGATTTATCAGTGTTTATCTACTTGTCTTCCAATGATGTAAAATTATGCGGACCAAATTTATGTTTCAGATTTATAAATAATTAATTTATTATACAGAATACATGTATCTTGTTTGTGTTGAGGCTTGAGCTGTAAAACACTACTCCTTATTGTGAAAGAAGTGGCTAGCCGTACGGGCCTGTACGGCTAGCCAAAAGTTCTAGCCGTACGTGACTCACGTACTCCATTTAATTTTGAAAAGTGCCGTACGGCTAGCCAATACAGTGTGTCCTGGCTAGTCGTACATGACTCACGTACGGCTAGAACTTTTGGCTAGCCGTACGGGCCTGTACAGCAATTTTTATTAAGACATTACAGAATCATACATGTACATTATATAAAAGACACAGTTTTCACTAGGCTGCCAATACCCACAGTCACAGTAATATTCAACATACAATGTACATGAGGCAGCTAAAAATAGCTCTATATAAATTCATACATGCCATAATTTTTGGACAGCTTTCCGGGACACTTTTCATCGCGGCAATAATGGATCTGTAGGCAGTTGTGGAAAAGTCAAGGGGGGGGGGGGGGTCAATCGTATAACGTTATTAAATTAGGACGACTTTCTCCTGAATTTTAATGATAAACAGTTAACTTACTAGTTTTATAAGTTGTCTTTTAGGTCGACATATTTATCATTTTAAAAGTATTTCTTTATTTAATTTATTATTCCCTAAAAGCAAGTAAGTTGTAAGTTATAAACTCGGTGAATGGGCGCAGCCATGTTGTTCACCCGTTATATCTTAAAGTCATGATAATTACTACATGTCACGTAATGCAATTCTTCCAGTCATAAAAACAAACACAGCAAGGTGATTTATTTGACACCTTTAATTTTTTTATTTGATAGATATATTTACATTGTTTGTAATAATTAGACTTTCGGCAATTTAGCGATTGATCTAAAAATTAATGATTATCGGGGATTAACGATAATTGTTAAGGGCCGTAAACAATTAATTAACCCGACCATTAAACGCTGCCGAATTCAACAGAGAATGTTAATTGCCGATGCATGAAGAATCTATTGCCGAGGGGAATCGACAGTCGATAATTGGGGGGCTGTATATTGTAAACTTGTAAGTGTCAACGTTCCTGTGTATTATGTGTACCAGGTCAGATTATGTTTTACGATCTAGAGGTGAAATGTGCGAGATTTGATTTAAGAAAATTTATGAAAATTTTGCAAAATATCATGATTTTTTTTCCGGGATCAAATCGATGCCCGGGACATCTCCGGGACAGACACCCGATTTCCGGGACAATCCCGGGCATCCGGGACGTTATGGCATGTATGATAAATTTATGCAATGTGTTATTATCATGGTTATGTAAATTACAATCCATGTGAAGTTTTTTTTGACAAAATATTTGTATACTTAAATGAAATAATTTGTTTCTTTTCATTTTCTTACAGCAATGATTGATAGTGTAGGTGGGCCGGTGAGGGGAGGGTCAACAATTTGTTGTCAACACTCAATATACCAACAATTGGAAATAAAAACATGAAAAGAAATGGAGAGACGTGTTGGAAATATCATTGAGACAGTGGCTTCTATCTGTCTATGTCGACAGAATCTGCTGTGAAAGATCAAGGAAATTGAGTAAGACACATTTACAATGATATTTTCGAAATAACATGTAATTGAATTGGAAGAATTTGAAAAATTATTTTGTAATTATTATGTCTATGCAGCTTATCATGGTATAATCCTATATTGCTGGTATACTCGTGGTTTAGGGAACCAAAGAATATTATACAATCCATATATATATGAGAAAAGAATTTTTAAACAATGGCTTTGTTGTTTTTGCATGTTACTCTATATTCATGTACATATTTCTTTTTGTGCCCCCACGTTAGTGGCGGGCATTTAGATTTACCCTTGTCTGTCTGTCCTTCCGTTCGTCCTTCTGTCCGTCCGTTCACTTTTGTGTCGCACGTAACTCAAAAAGTATTTGACCTAGAGTCATGAAACTTTACAGGAATGGTGATCAGCATGTGTAGTTGTGCACCTGGGTATTTTGGTCTGGATATTTCTAGTATTTTCAGAGTTATTGCCCTTGACTTAGTAAAATTTTGCAATGTTCAACTTGTGTCGCATGTAACTCAAAAAGTATTTGACCTAGAGTCATGAAACTTTACAGGAATGTTGATCAGAATGTGTAGTTGTGCACCTGGGTATTTTCGTGTGCATATTTTTAGTATTTTTAGAGTTATTGCCCTTGACTAAGTAAAATTTGGCAATTTTCAACATGTGTCGCGGGCATTTAGATTTACCCTTGTCTGTCTGTCCTTCCGTTCGTCCTTCTGTCCGTCCGTTCACTTTTGTGTCGCACGTATCTCAAAAAGTATTTGACCTAGAGTCATGAAACTTTACAGGAATGGTGATCAGCATGTGTAGTTGTGCACCTGGGTATTTTGGTCTGGATATTTCTAGTATTTTCAGAGTTATTGCCCTTGACTTAGTAAAATTTTGCAATGTTCAACTTGTGTCGCATGTAACTCAAAAAGTATTTGACCTAGAGTCATGAAACTTTACAGGAATGTTGATCAGCATGTGTACTTGTGCACCTGGGTATTTTCGTCTGGATATTTTTAATATTTTCAGAGTTATTGCCCTTGACTAAGTAAAATTTGGCAATTTTCAACATGTGTCGCACATAACTCAAAAAGTATTTGACCTAGAGTCATGTAACTTTACAGGAATATTGATTAGCATGTGCAGTTGTGCACCAGGTATTTTCGTCTGGATTTATTTAGTATTTTTAGAGTTATTGCCTGTCACTTAGAAAATTTTTGCAATTTTCAACTTGTGTCAAAAGTTTCTCAAAAAGAATTTGACATAGTCAATAAACCTTATGGGCAGGTTGCTCAGCATATTTTAGATTTGCACCTGGGGTTTCGCTTGTGGATTTATTATTTGTAGAGTTATTTCCCTTGACTTAGTAAAAAGATTGACAGAACAGTGTTGCGGTGGGGGCACCCATGTCCTATGGACACATTTCTAGTTTCAAAATAACATGAATGTGTAATTGTTTTTTAAAAAAAGTATTTATTTCTACATGACAAACTGGGTCCGCCTGGGCTCCTTGCCATTGGTACTTGTTGCTGGGTCATATGGGGGTTGCGTTCATTGAACGTCGCCTTTCCTTGTTGATCTTGTTTATCATATTTTACCTTCATTGGTTTAAGACTAAAATTCTTATTAAATACATGCATTCTTTTTAAGGGATGTGCATCATGAAGAATCAATGGTATCAGAACACAACATCATGGAAGATCTTATTGACAAGATCTTGGAGGATGTCCTTTGCCAGATGCCTCGCCAGCACTAAAGTGAGTACTGGTAGTTTGTTTTCTGTATTTTGTTTATTTACGAAAGTAAAGGACTATGCAAAACTGACTGGTGTTGTTGAACTGTTTGTGTTATGTCAGTTGCTTCAATATATGAATATCTCTCCATATACTGTTTGTACATATGTATTTTTTTTTTTATTCAAGGTCTATTCTTCAGTCAGATGCTACAGTTACAAATGACAGTGAATGGTCAGATTTATACAATTGTGATGAACAATCCTCAACAATACATCAAACAAAAATTGCTATTAAACTGTAAGTTGAAATCTATGAGGTTTTTTTTATATATATTTATAATCATGGTGTAGCAATTAAATGATAATACTGTGATAATTTGTAATGCTATTTGGAGTCGTCTTCAATAGAAACAATTTGATGTGTCTTCATGTGATGAATAATCGATATGCAGTCCGAATTATTGCATAAAAGTTATTACTAAAATTGGTCAGGAAAAAGTCGTGCAATCAGCATTAATAACAGTGTTTCTGCCAGCTCTGATTTTCTGAGGGTCTTTTATGACCCCCTGTATGATATTCTAGGGGTCATTTCAAATTCATAAGGGTCATGCCAATAAATTTAACAAAAATGTAAAAAAAAAAAAACAGGTAACACTTTATAAGTTTTATTTACAATATTTTGTATATTTTTCGTGAAGAAATTGGTCAATCTCTGCTATTTTGGATTATTTGTCATCCAATAATAACGCTGTATTTCTTAAAAATTATGTGTGTTAATTTTCATAGAAGAAAGAAAGTCGATACTATATTGAAATTCGTTCATAGTCGCCTTCTAATTTTCATAGTGCTTCGTAGTACCGCCTAGTGACGTAATCAAGCGCCAAATAAAGCTTGACACTAAATATGTTAGTGTTCATCCTTAGCTGTTTTACAGAAATTAGAAACATTCTCCTGTCGCTATCGCTCCCTTCGAAGTTTCTAATTTCTGTAGAACAGCACAGATGAACACTAACATATACGCAGACTGCATTTTCCAGCAGACAGTTATTCGTTCGCAGAATATAACGACAACAAAATAAATAATTTTGTCTGGGCGCTTTCAATATATGCAGTAACGTATAAATGCAAGCGTTTATTAACTAGTTGAAATTGGCTAAATGCCGGACCACAGACCCGGTAAATTTCATTTCTCATTAAAATTATAGTGGAGCCCACGGTAAACATTCCGTACATTTTTATACTGAATTGACGGTTTATAGTCTGTATATCTGACTTGTGTTGAAATCAGCGACGGTGAAATTCTTGCGTCACAAAATACGCACTAACTAAATTTCATTGCGTCATGGCTGAAAATAGTGCGCCAAAAACGCAAAAACGCGCTCTGGCAGAAACACTGTTAATAATTAACAAAACTAATTCTAGTATGAACATTGTGTTACATTAATTATAAATAAGTTATTGTCAATTCATTGGTGTAGTTTCTCAATATTTGTCAATATTACGTTTAAAGATGAATTTTAAATTACAGAAAATATTTTTGAAATATTTTTACAATTACAGTTCTCACAGACTGTCAAAGGTTGAAAACAAATCAGAAGTGGTCCACATCTTGAAAAACCTCACAGCAGATTAAGACTTTCCCCGAAATTTCCCTGTAAAACCAGCAGTGGTATGTCCAATTCAGTAGATACTGCCTGGCACAAAAGAGGATTTGACAGTTTAACATGTAAGTAAAATAAGATTATTTTTATGCCCCCACAATGTGGGAGCATATAACGTTGCACTTGTCAGTTCGTCCCAAAATCTTGTGAACGCAACTCCTCTTAAACCGGACGGCAGATTTTGCTTAAACTTACAGGGATGAACAACCTTAATGTGTAGATGGTAGTTAAGGAAAGAATTTTCGCTGCGACCAAATTTAACAGAATTATGGCCCTTTGTTGATTTTTTACTATATACTATGTAGAAATTTTGTGAAAACAACTCCTCTTAAACCGGATGGCAGATTTTGCTTAAACTTCCAGAGATGAACAACCTTAATGTGTAGATGCTGATGGTAGTAAAGGAAGGAATATTTGCTGCAACCAAATTTAACAGAATTATGGCCCTTTGTTGATTTTTTCACTATATACTATGTAGAAATTTTGTGAACGCAACTCCTCTTTAACCGGATGGCAGATTTTGCTTAAACTTCCAGGGATTAACAAACTTAATGTGTAGATGGTAATAAAGGAATTTTTGCTGCAACCAAATTTAACAGAATTATGGCCCTTTGTTGATTTTTAGTTTTCAACTTGTGGCACATGTAGTCCAAAAACTATTTGACCTAGAGTCATAAGATTGACAGAACAGTGGCTTGTGGGGGCATCCGTGTCCTATTGACACATTTCTAGTTTTTCTCAGTTATCATGTCAGTAATGATTTAGAATTTGTCAGAAAAGTATCTGTGTATATTTTAACCACTGTTATTGATGTATAATTGAAAAAGTGAGTTTTGCATACAAGTAAGACTGGTAAGTCAACATTGTTCTTTCAAACAGTGGCATTTAGAAGAAAAATCCTAATGGTTATTTGAATGACCCTGGTTTTAACTTTGAGCTCTGACCTAGCTGTCATGTTCACAGCATGCATCATTTTAGTGTCGCCTCCGCGGAGTAGTGGCGACATATAGGGATCATTTCTCCGTCGTCTGTCTGTCTGTCCGTCCGTCACAAAACTTGTCCGGACTACTCCTCAAAAACTACTGGTGCAATTTCATCCAAACTTTAAAGGAATGATCAGTACCAAGTCTTGTTGTGCACTGTCTGTCTGTCTGTCCTACTGTCACAAAACTTGTCCCAACATGAAATTGGCCATCATGAGGCCATGTGATCACTGATCGCTCTTGTTTGTTATTTTGGTGTGTTTTTAACATAATACCTTGATTTCTTAACTAAGTTAGATAAACTTATAATATATGAGCCACTTGTCATTTGTAAATAAATCTAGGTTTTGCAATGCAAATACATGTTCATCCCAACAGATCAAAATCAAGCCAGCACCAGTGTATTGACCAATAAATAATAATTGCCTTTGGTGTTTATTTTCTTCATTTGTAGGTGGGCTTTACTAATAGATTACTGCCACTTTATTTCAAGGTGGGGTTTTGGGGTATCATTCACCTTCAGTGATAGTTCTAGTTTTATTCAGTATAAACATGGTAACATGTAAATGAAAAATGAACCTTCTTTTTTTCAGTGTACTGCATCAATAAACTAAATATGGAGAGTAGCTTAGTCACCAAAGCAGTCAACACCAAAATACACACAATGGCCAGGGCACTGAAACTTGGAAGAGTGAAAGAGTAAAGTAGTGCGTTTTTAGCTTACAAAGTGACATTGCGAGCTTTTGTCTATCATTCATCCGTAAACTTGATCTTTAAACAACATCTCATAAATTGCCAAGCCAATTTCATGCAAACTTACAATATTGTCTAGTCAGTTTTTGTTTTGCTTGCAATTGTTATATGACATGACTAAAGACATTTAGTTTTATTCTTCAGTTATTATGTTTATGTTTGTATAAGACCCAAATATATTGTTTAGATTCATTTTTACACATTTGAAAGCCATTATTGTTCTAGTCAGTTTTTGTTTTGCTTGCAATCGTTATATGACATGACTAAAGACATTTAGTTTTAATCTTTGATAATTATGTCTATATTTGTATAAGACCCAAAAATATTGTTAAGATTCATTTTTACAATTTTAAAAGCCATTATTGCTCTAGTCTGTTTTTGTTTTGCTTGCAATCGTTATATGACATGACTAAAGACATTTAGTTTAAATCTTTAGTTATTATGTCTATGAGGGGCATCCTTGGCCGAGTGATTAAGGTCATTGACTTCAAACCACTTGCCCCTCACCACTGTGGGTTGGAATCCCGACAGGGACTTTGGATTCTTTCATGTGAGGAAGCTATCCAGCTAGCTTAACTGAACGTCGGTGGTTCTACTCAGATACCCGTTCGTGCCTGAAATAATGCAAGGAAGGGCACCTGAACGTCACGATATGACCTATACTGTGTCGATGTGACGTAAAAACCCAAAACAAACAAACAAAAAAATTATGTCAATGAAATTCGTTGTTTGTATAAAACCCAAATATATTGTTGAGATTCATTTTTACAATTTTGAAAGCCATTATTGTTCGTGTCAGATATTGTTTTGCTCACAATCATTGTTATATGACATATGAGTTTAAATCTGAATGTATTATGTCCATGAAATATGTTGTTTGTATAAGACCAAAATATATTTTTGAGATTCATTTTTACAATTTTGAAAGCCATTATTGGTCTAGTTTGTTTTTGCATAACACATAACGCTATTGTTAGTATTTATTGTTATTAATAGTGATTTGTCTAAGTGGATGTCGAAGTATGTATGTTATTCCATGCCAGTTCATGTTTGAATGAAACTTTTTGTCCAGATAGAAGATTTCAAACTGTTACTTTTCTGATTTTTAGCTTTTACAACAATATTATATTTCCCATTTTTGGTGCTAAGAAATACTGCAACATGTGCTGAATAATAGCTATTGTCAAACATTGTTTTTATGCTCCCCGAAAAATTTCGGGGGAGCATATAGTCATCGGGTTGTCTGTCCGTCTGTCTGTACGTACATACGAACCCGAATTCGTGTCCAGCCCATAACTTTGTTATTTCAAGTTGGATTTTAAAACTATTTCACAGAAATGATCACCATATTGAGACGACGTGTCGCCCGCAACATTTAGGTGGCTACCTTGAAGTTCAAGGTCACACCGTGACCTTGAACAAAAATTGTGTCCGGCCAATATCTTGGTTATTTGATGTCGGATTTTACAACTATTTCACAGAAATGATCACCATATTGAGGCGATGTGTTGCACACACCATTTGGGTCAATACCTTGAAGGTCAAGGTCGCAACATGACATTGAAGCAAAATGGTGTCCAGCCCATAAATTCGTTATTTGAAGTCGGATTTTACAACTATTTCACCGAAATGATCACCATATTGAGATGATTTGTCACACGCAACATTTGGGTCATTACCTTGAAGGTCAAGGTCACATGATGACCTTGAAGCAAAAATGTGTCTGGCCCATAGCGTCGTTATTTGAAGTGTGATTTTACAACTATTTTGGAATTATCAGACTTTGAACATTGTCTGGGACATAACCCTGAAACTTCAAAAGATATACTTTTCTGTGTCCAAATCCTAGTCGGGGGAGGATCACCCTGGTTCAATAGGCTCTTGTTTTAATTGATTATTAAGTAATATGAACAATGCATGATAGCATCATAACTAAAGAGTGGAAATTTATGAAAGTCAAATATGTAAAGAATCAGTTGCTAATAAAATGTGTGTAAAATTTATCTCTTTTTTTAACTGGGGAATTAATTTCTTTATTTTACAAATTTATCAAATTTCATTTTATTCTACTGATATGTTTGTAATATTTCTTTTATTTTCTATAGAAAAAATGTGTTAAACCAATATGTATTTGTTTTCTTATAATTCAGCTAGTTTTAATTATTCCAATGTTTGAAAAAAATTGTTCGCCAGAACTTTACCAAAATGTTCGCCAAAATATCGCCAGAACATATTTGCTGAAACTGGCAAATATGCAAATGAAGTTTGCCGCAGTGTTACCAAAAGCTTCTGGCGAACCTCCGCAAACTTACTATGCAAATGAAGTTTGCTGCAAATTTGCCGCAAACTTTTGGCGAACATCTGCAAACTTTTACCATGCAAATGAGGTTTGCGGTAAATTTGCCGCAAACAGAAGCTACCGCCCCCTATAGTTTGCGGCAAATTTGCCGCTAACCTCATTAGTTGCGGCAAATTTGCCGCAAACCTCATTTGCATGGTAAATAATTGCTGAAAGCAGTTTACCGCAAACTCACCGCAATGTTTGCGGCAAACTTGCCGCAATGTTCACCAGAGAGCCTTTTTTTTGGTAAGGGATGTATTGTTTATATGTGTCAGATGACAGCAACGCTGTGTGTTAGATTACTTTCGGTTCAGAAAATTCATTTGTTTACCATCAAAACTCATATGTTTACCATAGGAACCATATATAGATAGAAAGCAAATTAAACAAAGGTAAAGAAAAAATTGTCCGTTTCTGAACAAAAAATCGAATAAATAAATACAAAGTCTTTTTAAAAGGTCCCTTCTTCAAGTTCATTTAAAAGGGGAATAATTTGGTTGGATTTTAGACAGGGAACAGGGTGTTATCTTTCATAGCTAGGGAATATGGCCGACTGAAATTATGCAAGCAAGTTTGTAAGTGACTGGATTAGAAGTCTTCGACTCTAACCCGTAAAGGTGTGCATGTTAGATCGTCTAGAATTTGAAACCCTAGCTTGCATGTTCTTAAGTCTGAAATTTTGTGATAAATTTGTAGACACTACTATTTCAAAATATGCATTTTAAAATGCACCAGACGCCGCCATTGTTCTCCCTGGAGGGGGATCAAACCCAAGACACCCGGCCAAAATGTCTGGGTTCGTCTCTGTAAGTAATATTTTGTTAGCCGGGCACTTACAAACTTGCTTGCATAATTTCAGTCGGCCATATTCCCTAGCTATGAAAGATAACACCCTGTTCCCTGTCTAAAATCCAACCAAATTATTCCCCTTTTAAATGAACTTGAAGAAGGGACCTTTTAAAAAGACTTTGTATTTATTTATTCGATTTTTTGTTCAGAAACGGACAATTTTTTCTTTACCTTTGTTTAATTTGCTTTCTATCTATATATGGTTCCTATGGTAAACATATGAGTTTTGATGGTAAACAAATGAATTTTCTGAACCGAAAGTAATCTAACACACAGCGTTGCTGTCATCTGACACATATAAACAATACATTAAATCGGTAAGAATATTGAGATATTTGTTTGACTATCAGTTATTAATATAGAAAACAACTATGTGTAGTTTTTGTGTATTGTTTTAATGTGTTTGTCTGATATTTTAGTTGTAAATACCATGTACGCTTAGTGTCGCTTCATAGCAACCGAGTTTAAAACGTGAGCGGTAACTGAACGAGATATGGCAAAGCGCATGCTCGCGCACTGACTTCCGCTCTATCAAAATACTGCATATACGTATAGCGAAAGTTCGTAAGTGCCGGGTTGCACGGGTGCAAACCCGGGTCAAAGTATGATGAATGTTGGGCGGCGGACGGGCGTGGAAAATTTTCGTAACAGTTTTCTTAGCAATTCCTTATCACAGCCTCTTGATATTTGGTATACATCATCAACACGTGGTCCCATAAGGTGTGTTTCAATTTCAGGATTGTCGCACATCCACCTCCTGTTTACCGACTTAATAAATGTTTCGACATTAATGGATAATGGTAGGAAATTTTCGTAACAGTTTTCTTAGCAACTTTTAATCACAACCTCTTGATATTTGGTATACAGCATAAACACGTGATCCCATAAGGCGGGTTTCAATTTCGGGACTGTCGCTCATCACTTTAGTTCATGTTTACCGACTTAGTTAAATTCTCGACATTAATGGTCAATGGTATGACATTTTCGTAACAGTTTTCTTAGCAACTACCTGTCACAGCCTCTTGATATTTGGTAGTGGTCCCATATGGAGGGCTGTCGCTAATCCACTTCCTGTTTACCGACTTAGTTAAATTCTCGACATTCATAGTCAATGGTAGACAATTTTCGTAACATCACAGTCTCATGATATTTTGGTAGGCAATTTCTGCCTTTGACCCATTTTTTTATGTATTGGGTATTATTTGTTACATTACTAATGTCTTGATATTAATATTACATTAACCGATGTATTGGTTTACTAATGTTTTTTTTATCATAACATTAACTTATGTATTGTATATTATTTTGAGAAAATTGTTAAATTGCTTTGGTACGTTCTTGCATTGTATTTCATTTTGTATTACTACAATTTGTTGTTCATAAAATATAAACTTTGATGTTACAAGTAATGATCTTTTACTGCAAATAATAACATTTTGACACAGATTAAAATTAATTTATACTTGAAATATTAACGATATGCATGTTAATAATATGAATGACATCATTTGAACATGAAACACCAATTAATATGTTATTTTCTTTTAATTAATCTGAATGCGTTAGAAGACCCTTTTTATATACATTAAAGCGACCTTCAGCTTTTATTTTTTGCTGGAAAAACATTTTGTTTTTGTTTTTTAAACCACAAGCAGGGATAAGACGTTTCTTTCTGATGTTATCCACTACCGCTACCCCCTTCCCCCAGTCCTTGTTACAACCCCCAAAAATATGATTAAAAGTCAATTTCCACATTTAGTATTCATAACAACCATAATATAATACCATTTTTATACCTCTCAAAAGTTTTAGTTATACCAGAGACATAGATAACATCTATAATTGAGCCGCGCCATGACAAAATTAACATAATGGGTTTGCGACCTGCATGGATCCAGACCAGTTTGCGCATGCGCGTAGTCTGATCAGGATCCAAGCTGTTCGCCTACAAACTCTATGACAAGTAGAGAAACTGATTGCGAACAGCATGGATCCTGATCAGACTGCGCGGATGCGTAGGCTAGTCTGGACCCATGCTGGTCGCAAATCCATTATGTTGGTTTTGTTATGGCGCGGCACATATGTTATTTACATCTCTTGTTATACAAAGGGGGTAGCAACTACGGTATACCATTAGGGCCATCGTAGTTATACTTTATAATATACAGTGCGATAGTGCGATGACGACAATACGACAATGCAGTGACGACAATGCGTTAGCGATAATGCGATGACGACAGTACGATAATGCGATAGTGCGATGGCGACGTCAAAGCATTTGAAAAAAATCAAATTGCCTTTTTAACTTATATGAACATTGATCCTCAAGAAATTAGCCAGGACATGGAACACATAGTAAGGTCGTAATAAATAAATGTACATAAATGATACTTCAATACTAGTTTAAAAAAAACAACTTTAGTCAAGCGCAATTTCATAAGTATCAAATTCAACGTTTATAGCCACCTTTATAGACGGTTAAATATTTGATATTTTACATATTGAGTATTGTGTTTTGTTCGAAGATTTTTTTAAAGAACA